TCTAACTCTATGATTCTATGAAAACATAAGTAGGGGGCTGGGCTGTTGGATTGGAGAGGATCTGTCCAATAGCCAATTTGGATCTATGCTTGAAGAACACAAACTGCATTTTCTAGTAGAGATGCTCAGAATGCATATTTGAAATTCACAGTGATGCTTTAACTACAGTGCCCAAAATTCTTTGAGGGAAAGAAAGTGCTTTGAATGTTCTTTAAAGGTATAGTGTATGCACTGTTCATGGTTGCAAGTTTAAATTGTTAGAATACAGTGGTACCTCAGGTTAAGTACTTAATTCGTTCCGAAAGTCAGTTCTTAACCTGAAACTGTTCTTAACCTGAAGCATCACTTTAGCTGATGGGGCTTCCTGCTGCTGTCGCGCCGCTGCTTCGCGGTTTCTGTTCTCATCCTGAAGCAAAGTTCTTAACCTGAGGTAATATTTCTGGAGTCTGTAACCTGAGGCGTATGTAACCTGAAGCATATGTAACCCGAGGTACCACTGTAATGGTAAACTGATGTTTATTATGGTAAATGGCATTTAAAATCATCACAATAAGTAATAAACCGGTGAGGACCAAAAATTTTAAGCAGTGGGGCCAGCACCTTAAAAGGAACATTTGCTTAATTTTTGATCCTGTTGTGTTTTTGGTGAGACTCTTCAGGAACACCAGAATTTGCTTTATACTGAATCAGACCCATTGGTCCATCTACTAGTTCAGTATTGTCTACAGTGACCACCAGAGGCTTTCCAGGGTTTCAGGCAGGGAAAATAGTTAACCATACCTGGAGTTGCTGGCAATGGATTCTGGAGCCTTTGCATGCAAAGCAGATTCTCTACCACTGAGCTACAGCCCCTTCCCCTGCAAAAATAATGGAGAAGAAGAAAAGATTGGAGATGCCTTCTCCATCTAACAGAGTGGTAGGTTATATTCCATAAATTGTAAGTTACATTACAGAGAACGCAGGTGAGTCTCTACACGAATATATATTCAAAATGCAAATTATGGGTATTTTCCTCCCCCAGAACCTGAAAGAATTGTACCTTGAGAACAACGATTTGGAGTATCTTCCCCCAAGCATAGGCTCGCTGCTTAAGTTGGAAGTACTCGACCTTCACAACAACTATCTCATAGAGCTACCTGATCACATATGCGAACTACAAGGTAAAAAGGATAGATCAAAGCAGGCTCTGCACGAAGGCAGAATTCACAGTCATAGCTTCCTTTGCCAAGGGTACCTCTTGTCAACCCCTTATAATGTCTTTCAAGTCCCATTTTCCTCCAAAGCTAAATTTAAAATACACTCTTGCTTTGCATAATTTAGGCTGCAATTCATACTCATGATCTGCCTTCATGTGGGTGGAGGGTGAGGTTTCAGTGGGGCAGAGACCTCCCTCCGCCAGCCCAAAACAGCTCAGTTGGGGTCACCCCTCCAGTGCACAACTCCCTGTTCCACCTGCCAAAAGTGTGGGCAAGAAGAAGTACCCTTCATAGGGGGTAGGCCTACAGAAAGCCTCAAAAAGGGGTGTTCCAGGGGAGAACTCCACAGCTGTCACTTTACATCAAACCCAATCTGATTCTGTTAGCTCCATCAGCTCCAGGCTGGCATAAAACAGCAAGATTTTGCCTCCCATCAAACACCTCCTCTCCTAGCTGGCATGTGTCTGGGTGGTGAATAAGCTGCCCTGTCACACCCCTCTTTGCCTGGGGCTAGGATTCCTCTGCTAGACTACTTGTGTAGGACCTATACAGACCACTGAAGCTCCTTGACCACTGGGGATTTTGTTCACCCCTTGCTCCCCTCACCTCTGCATCCTGAAATCCCTCCAGGCATTGCACACACACTTGCTAGCCAGTCTTCTGTACCATAAGGAGAAAGGTCCATTCCCATGTGGACAGAACACAACCCATCCCAATGTTGTGTACATGCAAGAAGAGATCTCTGTAGGTCTTTATTGAGCATTCCTTCCAATTTGCTTGGACTGTTTTTATACGTCTTCTAGTTAATCATAAATTCATCTCACACTATTCAGTGCATTTCCCTGTCACTAGCCTGGTAAAAAAAAGTGGGTTTGTTGTGCTCGGATGACTTTAATCACCTTTAACTGTGCAAACCTTGATTTCTCGGGATGCACCTGAATCCCTCCTACAAAATACTGACAGTTTGGGGGTGCCCAGAGGGAACACAGACCAGAGTGCTTTCCCCCAAGGCAAGATGCAGTCTATAAGAAGGCCAAATTCAGTGACTCCTAGCATCTTTTTCTTTTACAAAAAGCAGGTTCAGTCCAGACTAGGATCACAGCACGTGGGTTAACCATTTATTGTTGAATTTTTCTGCTGGAAATCAGTGCCCCTGCCCCCCCCAAAAAAACCCCTACTATTTGCCACAACTGGGAATAGGGTGGTGGGCCTTACAGACACACAATTGTGTTTGCATTTTTCCAATCAGGGCAAATGACAGCTTTAGGTCAGGAGTTGATTGTTTGGGGGAAATTGTTTGGGGGGAAAGATTAACCCCTCCCCCCCCCAATGTTAACTCTCCCAAACTTGGTTGGAGGTTCCTGAACCTGCTTTTTGTAAAATCAAAAGTAATTGGGAGATACAAGCCATAGGAAGCACAGGTCACCATCTTATACCATCAGACCACTGATCCATCTAACTCAGTATTGTCTGCACTGACTGGCGGTGGTTCTCCTGGATTTTCAGACAAGGGCCCCCCCCCCATCCAATCTGGAGATGCAGAGGATTGAACCTGGGACCTTCTGCGTCCAAAGCAGATGCTCTGCCACTTAGCTTTGGCCCTTTTGTAGTTTGATCCTGAGCCAACTGTTTCTCTCAGCCCTGCTGACCGTGTCTCATTTAATGCATGGTGTTCATGGGCTACCATGCTCCTCTGTTTCTGCCCCTCTTCACAACAGGGATTACCCTCCTATGCAATCTTTGGCACTCCAGATGTTGCTGTAGAACCACCATCATCCCTAAGCATTGGCTTTGTTGGTTAGAGCTGATGGGAGTTGAAGTCCAGCAACACCTGGAGGGAACACAGCTTCCCTAGCTGTCCTCTAAGCCAGTGTTCCCCAACCTTGGGCCTCCAGCTGTTTTTGGACTACAATTCCCATCATCCTTGACCACTGGTCTTGCTAGCGAGGGATGATGGGAGTTGTAGTCCAAAAACAGCTGGAGGTCCAAGGTTGGGGAACACTGCTCTAAGCTACTTGGTACATAAGGAATCTAGAGTCCTTACTTCAGTTGAGCCTATTTTTATTGTCAACCAAAGAAAAAAAGAAAAACCTTGGTAGGTTGGCACTTGTAATATTAATAATAGTAATAGTAGTAATAATATTAATAATAATAATAATACTCAAACGTTCAGCTTGCAAATAAACATGAAATGGATGTCGCTTATGCATCATATTCACCATTATCATTCTCTTGTGTTTAGAGTTGCAAAAGCTATTTCTTCATTCCAATCAGTTATTTCAAGTCCCGGAGAATCTGGATAAGCTAGAGAAACTGCAAGTTCTGACACTTGAAGGAAACCCTCTGATGTTCCCAGCAGTGGAAATCTTTAGCCAAGGGTTGCAAGTCACCATGCAGTACTTGCGAGATGAAAGATACGAAAAGGCCTTGACCATAACGGTACGGAGAACACACACAAAAAGCCACATGGGTCTGCAGCATGTTGTAGTGACAATCCATTGGAACTGTGGGTGGGCCACAGGATTTTAAATAGTGGAAGCAAAGTAGCAGTATCTGATACACATGTGTATCTGAAGAAGTGTGCATGCACACGAAAGCTCATACCAAGAACTAACTTAGTTGGTCTTTAAGGTGCTACTGGAAGGATTTTTTTTTTGTTTTGACTATGGCAGACCAACACGGCTATCTGTAACTGGTATGACATTGGTATGACTTGGTATTAGAGGAGTGCGGGGAACATACAGCATAACAGAGAAAAGAACAAGGGGGAAAGGAGCAGGTCTGGTCAGGTAGGAGAGTATTTTCCTCCTGACTTTGAGAAGAAGCTGGTGGGACAAGGCAGTCAGTCAGTAGCAGAACCTTTGAGAGCTCCAAGTGAACATGGCAGCTTTTGCTAATCTGGTGTTTTGGACAACCTGATGGGAGTTCTAGCCCAAAGCATGGAGGGCACGAGGCTGGCAAACACCGCCTACTAGTTCCTACAAACTCTAGGACCACTTTTAAAGGGGCAGCCCCCTGGCATATAAGCCAGCATACCTCCTCCTCCTGGTTAATTCCCTCAGCGCTCTGCTGATGGCCCAACATAGTGATGTGTAGGGTCCATGATGTTGAGGAGGACAGTTCTTTGGAGAGAACAAGCACAGAGGTTACTGACTCTGGAGAGTCCTAATGGTACTGTATGAGGGAGTAGCAGAAGGGGGAGTGGTGCCAGAAGAATTCCTGCAAGAGATTTTTTGTCCACATGACTGAGCCTTGGCAGGAAAGCGGGGACACAGCATCCATTTTATGTGCCAACATTTGAAATCTGAAAAACAAATAGCTAGGAATGGACAGCGCAGCCTAGGTCTATCCCATTTCAGTTTCATTATTTAATCGTAGGTCTGTTCACCATGAACTTCTCCCTTGTTCTCTTAGAGCGGCCATGGTGCCCACCTGAGAGGTGCCTGAGCTGAGCTCTGGTGAGCTCCAACTGAAAAAAAGCCCTGGGTCTCTTCCATCCCATATTGTGCAATTCTTAAAAGAATGTATGAAAAGTTCAGTTTAAATTGTATGCCTTATTGTATGTCTTTCCCCTAAAATATTTTTTTTTCCAATGCATGTCTCTATAACATGCATTTTGGCAGTAAAATACCTATTTCTGTGTGCACTTTTTTTGCACACCAAAACTGCATTGTAAAATCCAGAGAAGCAGAGTTGTGCTCCAATCTGGTAGCAAGTTTGCAGCCATCAAATTGGTCGGTCTGCTGTAAGAACAAAATGAACTAATTCTTCTCCCATCCCTACAAACAGCTGCTCCCCCCCCCCCATTTTCATGCTTATGTGGTTGTTTCTCCCTCCCCTCAAAGGTCCAGGCTTGGTGGCGTGGCTTGATGGTGCGCAGAGGGATTGGAGCCTTTGGCGAGATCCTGAAAATGATCAGGAGAGGCAAGAAAGAGAAGAAAGAGAAGAAGAAGGAGAAAGACAAAAAGGGGAAAGACAAAGGAAAAGGAAAAGACAAGGGCAAGGAAAAGGACAAAGGCAAGGGCAAGAAGAAATAACTGCTTTCTGTGATACCTTAAAAGGCCGGGGGAATAAATACAAGCAAGAAAAGAAAAGGACTCATAGAAAGTCATTTTCTCAGATCAAGATAGTATTTTCTATTGCTCAAGCCACAAACTCCTCTTGGTGGGGAGAAATGGTCCAGCAAGGCAAGTCTTGCATCCTGTGTGGCGAAAAATTACTCACAAGGCGGGGCTGAGTAGGATTTTCACTGAGATGAGGGCTTCAGTTTCTCAATTCTGGCGCTCTTCTCTCTCTATCCCACTGCATTCTGTCAGGTAAGGCTATAGGAACTGCGTGCTGAGCCTGTGGGCCACCAGCTATAGATTGTTACACTGGCACAAGACATCATGCTCCATACCAAACATCAAAGCGAACATTTCGTTCATTGTCCCGATTAAAATGTTCCAGTTGCTTTTGCTGAACTTCGGAAAGAACCCAGCCTTGCAGCCCGAGCTCCGTGAACTGGGGCAGCTTCAGCAGTGCTGCCAAAAGTTTGCCCAACCATTCGCCACAGTTGCCACGTGACGAAGGACGACGGCTGACATCCAGTTCAGAAAGCTGCTCAAGGCCAACTATGTCTTGATAGAACATTGTCCATCCTTGGTCAGAGATCTGGTTGTTATAACTAAGGTCCAGTTCTTGTAGTTGAGCCAGATGCCCAGCTTGGATGACCAGGCCTGAAAGAAGCAACCAGTTCATCAGTAGGTAACATTGGTTTTCAAAACATACTGTACATGCTTTCAAGTGGTGAAGGGACTTCTGTATCAGAAAAAAGGGAGTGGTACTTTGGAAGGAGAAAAATCATAGAGAAAAATGAGATTGGGGTGTTCATGCATTACATTGGATGAGTGTAAAGCCTGTGTACCTGTGTTCACCAAAGGTAAGTTGTACACTCATACAGTGGTACCTCAGGTTAAGTACTTAATTCGTTCCGGAGGTCCGTACTTAACCTGAAACTGTTCTTAACCTGAAGCACCACTTTAGCTAATGGGGCCTCCTGCTGCTGCTGCGCCGCCGGAGCATGATCTCTGTTCTCATCCTGAAGCAAAGTTCTTAACCTGAAGCACTATTTCTGTGTTAGCGGAGTCTGTAACCTGAAGCGTATGTCACCTGAAGCGTATGTAACCCGAGGTACCACTGTACTAATTCACATGAAATGTTCAATGGGTGTAGAGTCTGTGTACGTATGTACAAAGTTACAGCAGTACAAATTAACAAGTGTACACATTATCACATAAACATTTGTACATGCATAGACCGCTTGTATATATGTTCAGTTCATTGTGTGGACAAGCCAGAGGGTCCTGAGGGTGACAGCACAAGAACTGGATTTTCTGCAGTGGCTCCCAGCTTGTGAAATGCTCTCCCCAGGGACGCTTGCCCGGCCTGGCGCCATTGTTATACAGTGGTACCTTGGTTCTCGAACTTCATCAGTTTCGGGAGTCCGTTCGACTCCCGAAACCATTCGAAAACCAAGGTGCGGCTTCCGATTGGCTGTAGGAGCTTCCTGCACTCAAGCAGAAGCCGTGTCGGAAGTTCGGCTTCTGAAAAACGTTCGCAAACTGGAACACTTACTTCCGGGTTTGCAGCGTTTGGGAGCTGATTTGTTCGGGAACCAAGCTGTTCGAGTGCCAAGGTATGACTGTATATCTTTAGGTGCCAGGCAAAAACTTGCCTCTGGCCTTTTAGAAGTAGGTGGGATGGTTTTAATGTATTTCTTCCACTACTTGGTTTTAATGTATGTACCTATGTGGGGTTTGGTTGTAAGTTGATTTGGGTTGCCCTGGGCAAGACAGAGAGACTTAAAAATTTAATAAATAATAAATAAGCCTATAGTGAGCATCACCTGACATTATTTGCTCTGCATAAGCACTGGTAAAATACATTTATTTCATATCTCCCACCTTGGTCCATGATCAATAGTCCACTGAGTTGAGTCCACTATAAAGCAAATAGGCATGGTGAAATATCCCATTTGAAAATATACTACTGGCCAGATTTCCTTCCATTTGTGGAAAAGTCTCTCACGTCCAATGAACAAATCAGCTCTGACGTGTCGTCTGAAAACAAGGAGTACTAAGGAGAAGGGAAATACAATTTTATACCAACCAAGGCCACCCAGGTCCTCATCTACCAAGCTGCAGCTGCTTAGTCTTAACACTTTGATCTCAGCTCCAAGGTTTAGCGCTTTCAAAATCAGCTTTAGGTTCCCGCCAACGCATTTATTCCAAGAAAGGTCTAATATCTCCAGTTCAGGAAGGTGAAGGGCAGCATCAGCTGAAAAGATTAGCAACAACATCTTGTGCTTACTGAAATAAATAGGCCTGGTTCAGTGCCATTCAACCCTCTGCACCCAGCTGCGTATCTTCAAAATAGATCAGACCGTATACAACATTCTCTCCCCGCTTCTCCCAACATTCTCTCACACTTCAGTGCTACCAAGAAGCAAAACCCAGAATGGGTCTGTGAAGTTCAAGTGACTTGAGTCTCAGCAGCTAGGAGTCCCTCTAAAGGGCAGGTTTGACTCCTCCCCCCCCCTGGAATCATTGGGTGCAATTCTCCCATGCATATAAATGGTTGTCATTTATTCCAGTGGAAAAGTAGAGTGCTGTACTGGAGCACATTGTTGTGGTTTTAGCAAATCTATGTGACTGAGCTTTTCCTGAAAGAAATCGTGCAGGAAGGGTACCAAGAAGAGCTGCACAATGTACCTCCAAGCATTCTCTGTTCACAACCAGGAGGCCTACCTTCAAAAGTTCATCTGAAATTAATGGGAGCTGAGCAGCAACACAACTGCTTATGCACAGCTGCTGTTGCAGCAAACCTCCCTGGCGATTTGGGCTCTATATTGGCAATCAGAAATGTGCTTTTCCTATACTTTTCTAAGAGGGACCTCCCCTGAACCATGTTCAAACATCGAGAAAAAACACATGGGATACAATCCATCCAATGTTGAGTACATTCAACCTCCAATTACTTTCAGTGAGGGATGTGCAACCTAACCATATATGTTTGCGCATGGAACTGTCCCACTGTGCCCTCAATGGGAGTTATCCTCAAGGAAGAGTGCACAGGGTTTTGGCCACAAGTGTGCTAAAATCTCTCTGACAGAAACAACTGCATATATTAAAGTCAAAAGAATAGGGAGGGTCTTGAAAACACACATCTCAGGTGTCAAAGGTCAGTGTAAAGACTGCATCTGTATTAGCAGTCTCCATCCAGCTGCAGGTTGTCACACAGACCAAGGGATTTTCTCTTTGTTGCATCAAACGTAAAAGGATGCAGAGAAAATATCCCAGTTTGCATGACAAGCTTCTCTGTAGATAGCTGCCAAGGGTGCAGTTTCAAGTGACCACCATATGTGTTGAATGGTCACTTTAAAATGTGAAGGTTCATTATTGCTTCACAAGTTGTGTATGTCTTTAAGGACCAGGGCAAGTAACGAGACCCAGTCTTACAGCTGTGAAACAGCAGGTGCTGCTGAGTTGTGTTAATCAAGCTGTGTCAGCAATTGGGTATAGTATATAAGGAGCAGCACCTAGCTCTCCCATTACCCTGGGGGATGGGTTGGTGGTTGGGTCTGGTTTGTTGTTGATGTATTTAGTGTATAAGGAGTTTTGTTTTTGTTATTAAAACCTTGTTTAAGTTATTTTTGAGTCTCTTTTTAATGCATGGTCTCCCCAGCAAGCTCTCTGCAGCGCTACTAAACTGCAAATAGCCATCAATATGAAGTGCACATCATGGACATAATCCAGAGGAAGTTACATGTGCACGTGTTAACTGCATCACAGATAAGCATTACCTATGTGCATAAAGTTCCACGGATTTTAATTCGACTTGGATGTGCCTAATTTTCAGTCTGTGTTGCTCCTTTTCCACAGTACAGATATTTGCATAAGAGAACAACTTTATTATAGCTTTGTTATAGGAAGTTCAAACAGAACCAGCCTTGTAGGCAAAACAAAGATAGGAACAAGCCTACAGAGTTTCTGACAATGGAGCAATGTTTTTGTTAATTTGGGAATCAATAAACGATGCAATTATGTCTTAAGAAAGAGCTCATATTGCTTTACAGGACACAGTTAAATGAAGAAAAAGAAAAGAAGTTGCCAACTTCTATAATTAACTGTCAGCAGGACTTGAGATCACAAAAAATATAGCTCTTGATGTCTGGAGACTAGAAGAAAGGGGTTGAAAGAGATTCTTTGGACAGTGGCAAAGCATGATGCTGCTCTTGGTTTGTAGTGTTTTACATTTTTCAAAGCTTTCATTGTACTTTTGATTTAGTACTCTGAGCTGCCACTAGAAACCTATTTGAAGAGTTGGATATAATTTCTTGAGTGAATGTATGAACAATGAATAAACAAAAAAATAGCAAATCCATCTGGGAAAGAGAGAATGAGAACGAGGGAATGAGAATACTACAATTAAGTATTATCTTATACTGCTCTATGTCTAGCAAAAGATCTTTAATGGAAGGTGGTTATTTCAGTACTGAGAAGCCCTTCAATGAAATGTATTCTCTGCATAGAAATTGAACTTCTGTTCCCCTTTCCATACATTTGATTATATCAGACCTAATGAAAGTAGATGGCTCTGTAATGCACCTCCTGATAAATATTCCCAGGAATGTTTATTCAAATTACTGTCTCTTTCCATTTGACATTCGTGCCCAATTGATATACTAGCCCTGTGGATTGGTAAGATGGAGACATAGATAAGGAAAGCTAGAAACATTTTAAGGCATATTCTTACCTAAAGATGCAAATGAATCATGCTTTAAAGAACAATTGCTGAGAAGCACAGATTTCAGTTTTGGTAAAAAACGGAGTCTGCTGAGAAGGTGGTCGGAAGACTTCCCAATGCTTTTATTTAATGATAAATCCAGGTCCTGAAGACTCGACAAAAGGGGAATTACATGGGCTGCAAAAAGATCAAAGGATAGTACAGCTGCAACATAGTAAACATCAACTCCAAAATCAACCTAAAGGAGCTGAAAATATTCAAGCATGTCCCTTCCTTCCACTCATCTCTCTCACTCCCTTTTCTAGGATATTAATATACTATGTTATTTGAAAACTGAAGAATGGAAGATGATCAAATTTCATCAAATCCAGTGATGCCACTAAATTTTAACCTTAGCCAATAAACTGTCAGTTTTAGTATATTAACCAATTGATTGATTAAATCTGCATAAATTTGAATATGAATATACTTTTGAAGCAAAAAGAATTTTGCTGCTGTTTTCAGATCATGCACCCACATGTTCCAGCAGCCACAAGCTTAGAACAGGCACTACCGGTACTTCTTTACAGATGCCATCTGCTGCCTCCGTATTTTAGAAGTACTATTTACATTCCAGTGGATGATGAACTTCATCAGACTGTGCCAACAGCTTTGTAGCAAAACAGTCCCACCAAAAAGCAAGAAGTGGATATCGTAATGTTTGTGTGAACTCTGAAGTTTGCAGAAGTGTTTGTGTGTATACACACACACGAGTGGCCAACCCTGCTCCCACCACCAAACATACACTTAGGCTCCATTGGCATTATACATTTAAGGCAGCATCATACCACTTTAAACAGTCACAGCTTCCCCCAAACTCTCCTCAGGGAACTTAGAGAATTGTAGCCTCCCGATTTGTACACAAAATAGAAATCCTGACACTAATTAAGCCATGTTGATGGAAACAGCTGGGGTGGAGGGGGGAAGCACTGTGGAATGCATCAAAAAAGCCAATGTCAGTGTGATCCAAGGTGGCAATGTGAACACACCCAAGTGCAAATGTGACTTGAAATGGGGAAGGGGAAGACTAAATTGTACCTAGGCATAAGCAGCAAGTTAGAAAATATGTTGGAGAAGCCGGGGAGCTGGTGCGAGACAATACTGGGCTGGGCTGCTTATATTGCCTATTATAATACCTATTATTTTGCCAAGTAGTAGCCTTCCAGATATTGTGGGACTTCAGCTGCCATCACTCCCATGTAGCATTGCCAACAGTCAGGGACAAAGGGAGTTGTTAACCAACATCAGCTGGAGGGCACCTTGTTGGCTAAACTTGCTGTAACTTTAATCAAAGACATTGCTGGTTTGGTTATGGCCACAGAATGGATCCCCAAGGATGTGCTCCTTATGTGGTCCTCTAGATATTGTTGGACTCCAGCTCACATCAGCGCATGCAAACATAGCTAATGAACATTCTGATATTATGGGATTTGTAGTCCAGCAACATCTGGAGGGCCAGAGGTATTTCTGAGCTAGTGGGAGAGATGATTGATTGATTGATTGAAGATAAGATAATCTTCCAATTAAATATTCCACATAATGATTTTGCAAAAATGATTCTACGATTAAATGATTCTGCAATATCTTACTTAAAACAGTCATGTCCTCTTCTGTAATACAACACTGATGAAGATTCAGGACTTCTAGGTTCCTTAGCTCGGCCAAATGAGCTGCTAAGTACTTGAAACCTCCTCCAATCTCTTTATTACATGACAGATCTAATTCTCTTAGTTCCAGCAGGTGCTGCAAGGCACTAGCTGAAATAAAATAGGCACAGGGAGACAACTTGTCAATAATCAATTTGCCATCAAGGAAATCTGTTGTTAGCCTCCTTTAGTCCTTTTGCACATTCCTTCTCTTCATTGGCAAAGGCTGGCAAAAAATAAATTAAATCAAATGATGTTGAAATTTGGCAATTTGAAAATTCAAATTTGATATTTTTAATTTCAAATGTTTTCAAATTACACTTAGATAAAACTGGCCAAAATCTGATTGATAAGTAGACCTGAAGCACATTTGGAAAAATATTTTCCAGCATTTTTGCCCTAATTTGGATTTCTGGGTGTGTATATATTTCTAACTCACATTTATTCCAAAATTTCCAGTTATAGATGTTGACAAATGCATACGCAGAATATATTTAAAGCACATTCAAAGAATTCTGAGTACTGTAGTTTGTTAAGCGTTGCAGGGAATTGTAGCTCTGTGAGGGGCGAACTCTTTGAGGGCGGAAATGTTCTTCAAGTACTTTAAAGGTCTACTGTGAACACAGCTTCAGTTTCCCATCTGCAATAGAGGTATAATCATAGAACCTCAGAGCTGGAAGGGACTCAAGGGTCATCTAGTCTAACCCCATGCAATGCAGAATAATATTCATTTACCTTACAGGGTTGCTGTAAGGATTGCAAGAAGATAATGCATCTGAACAGTCAGAAATTCTGTGCACATGCTAAGTATCATTATTAAAAGTCCCAGCTGCCAAATCATCACCTGCACTTCACCCCCGAAGACACACACTTGACAGATGCCAACCAACTTACCTAAACACTTGAATCCATCTAGTTTTAACCCACACCTGTTCAGATTAAGTACTTTCAGTCCTGAGACATGCTTTAATTCCTGGGCAATACTCTCCAGGCTATATCCTATCTTTCTGTTAATTGACAGATCCAGTACTTCAAGGTTGTGGATTTTGTAGAGCTGCTGAGCTGAAAAGAAGCCAGGGGATGAAGTGGTCACAACACATTCAGAGCAGATAATGGAAGAGAAATGTAATAAATTTAAAATAGGTTTATTATTAGGAAATCAGGGCCCTTGGAATTTAAAACAAAACAAGAAGGTAGTTCTAAATCCAATCGAAAAAGGAAATCTCTCTTAATGCATCTCTCTTAATGGGAAGTGGACAGAGAGAGGGAGGGAGGAAGAGATACTACACATATCTCATTTTAAAATTTAACCCCTTTAGGATTTGAAAAAGGTTATCCTTCTGTAACAAACATGAACCAGTCAATACCTCACACATCTTGAGAGACTGCCCATGCTTCTCAAAAGCCAGTCAGACAACATATGCCAATTATGAAGTTTCCTTCCTCATGCTAATGAATGTTAATTTGCCTTAAAGGTAAAGTAAAGGACCCCTGACCGTTAGGTCCAGTCACGAAGGACTCTGGGGTTGCAGCGCTCATCTCGCTTTACTGGCCGAGGGAGCTGGCGTTTGTCTGCAGACAGTTTTTCCAGGTTATGTGGCCAGCATGACTAAGCCGCTTCTGTCGAAACCAGAGCAGCGCACGAAAACGCCGTTTACCTTCCCACCGGAGCGGTACCTATTTATCTACTTGCACTTTGACATGCTTTTGAACTGCTAGATTGGCAGGATCTGGGACCAAACAACGGGAGCTTAAATTCATTTAAATGTTGAACCAGTAAGGGAAAAATTTTCAAATGTTGATTTGATCAAACTAACTATATCTTTTGATACACCTCACTAGCAATTTGTCGTTCATATCGTGCTATTCATTTTCATGACATTAACATGTTTTAAATTGTTTTTAACAGGTTCTTATTTATAATATTAATATTTCTCGCAAAGTGCTTCGAGGTTTTACACCATACTACAATCAAGCAGTTTGTAGATTTTATCAAATAAATAAACGATGCGTTCATTTCAATCACTAGTGCAAGAAACCAATGAAATAAGGTGTTGCCAGTTCCCATGTTATGCATGACTATAGTCAGTGCTCTTTTTTCCCCTGGGAAAATTGGGGCTAATACCCACCATGAAGTTGTTATAGTAAGTACCACACTTTTTAACAACAACATACTGCATATCCTTGAGTATCCCCTGAAAAAAAGCACTAACTATAGTTACTTGCTGAAAGCCACAGTAAGTTAAAGGGCTGAGCTAAAATGTGAATCTGTACCTCCACTATTTGAAAACCATATTGGAAAATTTGGGCAGGCACAATACAAACCGTATTTGAAGACCCCTAACGCATAAATCACAGGGCACAACCTGCCAGTTTTCACACAAATTCTTTAACGCATTCAAGTGCAGCAGGTTTAAAATCTTGATTCCATACAAAGTGGTATTTGGTTTGATATCTAAATAAAATGCTAAAACAGTATTCAAAGCTGCTACATCACTATGCCATGGGCTCTTACCTAGTGATTCACCATCTTCAGAAGTTAGACTGCAATCCATCACTTTTAGTGTTTTGAGTTTATGGTCTTTGGGGATTTTTTGGATTAGAAGAAAAAGCTTCCCACCAATGTTGGTATTCCATGATAAATCTAGTGTTTCAAGGTGAGGAATTACTTCAAGCGCTTCCCCTGTAAATAAGCATTTGATACTATTTTATACATTTATTTGAAGAATCAGAAGACAATAATGATCGCATCATACTTTTTCACTATTTAAACTTTGGTTTAAGAACATGTAAGAATGTAATACCGTATTTTTCTCTCCATAACACTCGCTTTTTTCCTCCTAGAAAGTAAGGGGAAAATGTCTGTGCGTGTTATGGAGCGAATGCCTACAGATGGCGGGAGGGATCTGCTGCAGTCGTGAGCAGAGGATCCATGGTTCCCCTTCCTTCCCTCCTCTGTGGATCGCTTTGAAACAGCAAAGCGGGAGAGTGTTAAGCGGCTCGTGTCTGGTTGGCTGCTTTAAAGCAACTGTGCTCTCTGTCCCTCTCTCCTCCCCACTCAGCTCGCTAAATAGCAGCAAAGCTTTTCAGCGAGCCAAGCCGGGGAGGAGGGAGAGAAGCAGAGCCTGCTTGTTTTAAAGGAGCAAAGCGAAGAGGAGAGGAGCCACTTACACGAGTGTAAGTGGCTCCTGTCCGGTTGGCTCCTTTGTATTGAGCTACCCCAAACTCACCGTCAGATCACATGTCTGTGGCCACAGCATGAACCACAAAAATCATACATCCACTGTTTCATTTAGAATATTTTTTTTCTTGTTTTCCTCCTCTAAAAACTACGTGCGTATTATGGTCAGGTGCGTGTTATAGAGCGAAAAATACGGGTAATTTCAGGAACATACATACACAGGTTTGTGTACCCAATTACAGCCCTACTTCAGCAAGCTCATATTTGCATAGTCTGGATGCAGCCTTAGGACTTATCCACATTTACCTTTCCTCTGCTCTTTCCAGGCACAGTCTGCACGTTAAAGCACTTGGAAGTGTTTGAGTGCTCCCCCTTTTTGCTCCAGAGCTTTCCCCACAAAAACCCGCTCTTTTAACACTCAGTAGGAACAAGTGTCAACCCATAGTTAACCAGAACTGCCACTTACTCCAACTGAGGGCTGAAGAGGGGTTTTGCTGGGAAAACTCCAGGGCAAAAAAAATCAACACGCCTGGATACGGTGCTTTAAGCATGGACCTGTGCCTGGAAAGAGCAGGGTGAAAGGTAAGTGTGGACAAGCCCTGTGTCTGAAATGGAATTGCAGGACTAGGTCCCCCCAATCCAGATTAGAATTTACCTAGATCTCTAATGAAATAACTCACTGTAATAACCTCTCGGAGTAAGTTATGCAATTACTGGATGATACCTAAAAACGAAAGATCCATGGCTGTGAGTCTGCAGTTGTTCAGTCGGAGGACTTTCAGCTCTTGCAGACATTTGAACGGAAGGGTAAGAGACTTTAATGTCCCTCCTATTAAATCATTCCAGGAAAGATCAATCTCTTCCAGGCCTGGCAGCAAATGTATTATGGCAACTAGGGGAGAAAGCAGAGTGAGAGATAAACCACTGCTGATATAAGTGAAGGCGGCATGACTGCACTGTGTGTGCACATTAAGGTTTATTGAGGCAGATACAAAAAGCTGCAAGGTACTATTGGTACTACAAGTAACTCTGTGTAGCTCTGTTCCTACATCTGCAAAGAAGGGGGTGGGGGTTGATATTTTAAGACTAAGATGGCTCCAATCCATTCATCTCCTCCATGCGCCTGGGATGTCAGGTGGCAGCAGAGAGGTGACCAAAGAAGAGAACCTCCGGCCTGCAGACCAAACTTCACCCACCAGCCCTCCTCATTTGGTCTGTGAGGTCAACTGAGGCAAGTCGCACCTATCCAGCTTAACTCTTATATAATGCCATGTGTGTTGTGGGGGGCAGATATGGCCAGGACTTGGCTGAAAGAGGCTTTGCAGGGGCTACCAACTTTTGTAATTTTGATTATATTAAGGGGCTATATTTTACAATAAATAAACACCCATAGCAGTTGCCAACAGATTGTGATTAGGGCAGAGGGCCGTCTCCATACACTGTGCATTGAGCTCACGAAATCCTTTTGGCACACCACAGCTCAGAGTAAATCCCTGACTGCCGAAGCTTGCTTTCCCTTTTGCAAGTGAGCCTAAATTTTCATCTATGCATACAAATCATCACATGAAGATTTTATGTAAATTTGTGCCATAGGCCTGTGCACTCAAGTATTTAAAAATGCCTCTGAAGCCATTACTAAAGTGACAAAATACATATCAAAATGTATACTCACCCAGCTCCATTATATCTGTTGTACTTAATGCACAATTATTTAAGTCCAAAACCTTGCTAGAGGGCTGTTTGCCCAATTTCCCCAGGAAATTCTGGACTCTTTGCGGACACAGCATTGAGTCTGTGGAACCAAAACAATGGAAATGTAGTGACCTGAATGGTTTTCAACAATCCCAAGATTTGCTGAAAACCAACCAAACCATGCTTCTGATCGTGCAGGAGACTCTCTCCTGGTAGATCATGAACATATTTTTTCGTAATCATCGTTAACATGGAAAATGCCTTCACAGCTGCTGCACAGCAGTTCTACATCTTCACATGATGACTCCAAAATCTGGTTCTGGTCCGTTACTGCCAGTTCACACTCTATTAGTATATATGTGAAATGACTTTTTGCCCCAATGTGCACCACTGTACACTTGCTTACATGGAATTGCATTTGCCAATTGACTGCCCATTCACCCAGTTTGGAGTTCCTCACAATCCCGTTGGCAAAACATTGGGACAACATGGTGGGTGAAAATGCTACATCTGTCTTCACTCACAGATGTTTCAATGTTACATCTGTCTTCACTCACAGAGAGCTACTCTTGGAGCACAGGCGCCCTGGGCAGACAGTCCCTGTTCTTCGAGTGCTCTTTCTTATCACTATTACCTGGTGCAGGGAAAATCTGCTCCACCATTTGAGTTTCTAAACAGGAATCATTCATTTTGTGTCCTCTGCTTCCTTTTCCACTTTCCTCTTTGGATTCCTCGTGGTCTGAGCCCTGGTACTGTTCACATCCCCCTTTCTCAGCAGAGCGTTTCTTCTTCTGGATCTGACTTCTAAAGAAGTTGAATGGGGATCTATGAAAAAAGCCATCTGCACCCTTTTCTGTGCTTGTCCACTTTGCGCCTTTCCGAGGAGAGAGAGAAAGAGAGGCAGAAATTGTGTTTCGGATAGCGCTTGCTCTTTAACTTGCCTTAAAAACAAGGTAGAGAAGGCCATGCACTGTGTACTATGTAAAAAGGTAAAGGTACCCCTGCCCGTACGTGCCAGTCTTGACAGACTCTAGGGTTGTGCGCCCATCTCACTCAAGAGGCCGGGGGCCAGCGCTGTCCAGAGACACTTCCGGGTCACGTGGCCAGCATGACATCGCTGCTCTGGCGAGCCAGAGCCGCACACGGAAACACCGTTTACCTTCCCGCTAGTAAGCGGTCCCTATTTATCTACTTGCACCCGGGAGTGCTTTCGAACTGCTAGGTTGGCAGGCGCTGGGACTGAACAATGGGAGCACACCCCACCGCGGGGATTCGAACTGCCGACCTTTCGATCGGCAAGCCCTAGGCGCTGAGGCTTTTACCCACAGTGCCACCCGCGTCCCGTGTACTATGTACACCCACACAATTTCATTGTAAGAGAAAGTTCAGAATGTATTGCAACTCCTGCCATGATATGTGCATAGTTATTACTTCCTAGCCATCTCTTCTTATTTTTCTGTATTTCCACACTGACTAATCATCAAGGTCCTTGGGCCGTTCACAAACAAAAATACATTTAATCACAACAAAACATTTATGGAAACCATATCAATATATCCAAAATAAAAGCACCGGCACCAAGGACAGGGAAAAAATCAGTTTGTATTTAAAGGCAAACTTACCTTTAAGTTTGGGAAATTTTTACTTTGTGGTGTGTGTGATACTGTGCTTTGAAGTCTGGGTTGTTGGGACTTCAAATTGCAATGCAGGGTTGATTGAAAGCCCTGTTGCAAACAGCCCCACACTGCTCTTTAAGGCTCTGAAAACCAGCTGAAGGATGGTGGGAGCACACCTTGTTCTGGCAAAGGAACAATCAAGAGCTCACTTTGAGCTCCTGGTTCTTCCTTTGCAATACCCACAGCAAACCTGAACACATATGGCGTCAGGTGTGAGGGTGGTAGGAATGGTTTGGAGACCAAATCTGGCATAAAAGCCAGAGGTTCCCCACCCCTGTCAAACAATATTTATGCTTGTTAACTACTGAACATTTTGATCTGTGGGTTGCACCTGGTTTTAAGCATTGCTTCCTGAGTTCTTGGGACAGAGCATGCTAAAGCTTGAAGAGTTTGGATTTGGATTTGATATCCCGCCTTTCACTCCCCTTCAGGAGTCTCAAAGCGGCTAACAATCTCCTTTCCCTTCCTCCCCCACAACAAACACTCTGTGAGGTGAGTGGGGCTGAGAGACTTCAGAGAAGTGTGACTGGCCCAAGGTCACCCAGCAGCTGCATGTGGAGGAGCGGAGACGCGAACCCGGTTCCCCAGATTACGTGACTACCGCTCTTAACCACTACACCACACTGGCTATTGAAATACATAAAACAGAATAAGCACTGCCAGAGGTTTTTAAGAGATACAGTAAAACAACCTACCTTCAGCTTCCATTTTTTTTAATTGAAAGGTTGTTTTACCTTTCCAAGTATTTTCATGGCTTATGAAACAAATCAGCTTTGATGCTGATCATCCTTTGAGTTTGCTCTTGATTCAGTTGCTTTATTGCTTGTCTTCAGACACTTTCTGTTCTCATATTAGCTTTCTCATGCAAAATTCTTGCTTTGCTGCGATGGTGAAGCAGGGACATATGCTCTTCAGAAGAACTGTGCAGAGTTCAAAAGTATTTTCAAGAGAGATGATGGTCCGGTGGAAAGCATTACCGTAACTTTTTCTTTGATGCGTCTTTTGACGGTTTTGCCCGACTACCTCCTTGAACACTTCATTTGAACAGTCTGGTCAGCATTTTTTTTGTGTGTAGTGGGGTAGGATCATTCGAAGAGAAAAGAGGAAGTACTTGTGTAGACTTTGATACCGGAGCCTCTTACATGTGACGGATTGCTGGCAGCTGGGAAGGCTGAGTCACTTTATAGCTCAAGTTACAGACTACCTGAAGAAAAAAAGGATTGTTGTGTTCCCTTTTAAAAGTAACACTGATGGAGTCTGGGAAAAGCCGAGAGATCAAATAGCTAGCATACTTCTGTGGAGATAAAGCTATGAAGCAATATTATTACAGTGTGTTCATTTCCCAAAAATATCTTATACCTATTGTTATTTAGTCTTCACAGTTAGTCCTCATGGTTAGGGTAGGATACATAATGAAATCTGCCAAAGTCTTTTGAAGAGAGTGATCTGCCAGAAAAATGCTCTGTTTCTTCTGGCCACAATACTTCTGCCATTAATTTAACACATTATTTATTTTTAAATTTACAAAGGTCTTCATCCCAGCTTCGGCTGGGGAGGGCGGGATATAAATAAAAATTTATTATTCTTATTTCTACTATGTTTGCACGGACAAAATTCGTTTTTTTTAAAAAAAATATTTTTCATTAGGTTTTCACATAATACATCTTAAGAACATCATATGTTACCATTCTTACTCTTCTGTGACTTCCCATATCACTGCAATGACAAAATGCCTATTAAGCAGATCACTATCATTCCATTTTACAGATTCAGAATTGAGGCAGAGAAATTAGTGACTTGTCCAAGGGCCAAGACCCATGGTTTCTAAACTCAGTACTTGTTCAAAGACAAAGGCACAATTCTTGCCCATCTGGTGCTTTAGAAGGCAAAATCTGTTGGAGCATCTGTCCTGTTATGTACCTTCCCAGACCTACAGATGTTGATCTATGCCCCTTCTCTGAGGAAGGTTTGGAGGGTGGTGACAAGGGCCTTTTCAGTTGTAGCTCTCTGCTAGTGGAATGCTTTCCCCAGTGAGATCCACCTGGTGCCAGGATAAACATCCTTTTGGTGCCAGGTATTTACTTATCTCTTCTCCCATGCATTTGAGAGATGATTTGTTGGATGACATTTTTTGTTGCCAAAGCTTTTGCTGCAGTTTTAACAGGTCTGTTCTAGGGATTTTTGTATGGTTTTATTGTAATATATTGGGTACCCTCTTCATGTCTTTTTGATTTCATGTTATGCTTTATGTTTTTAAATCTTTGTAAGCTGCTTAGAAACTTTTTACACAGCAAATGCCTAATAAATTGAATTGTTAATAATAGCAATGCAAAAATGTATCTGTCTTTGAATCTAAGAATAAAAAGTAAGAATTACTAGTTGAAGATTCAGGAAAAAATGGGAGTAGCACATCAGATGAACTCATTGGATACTTACTTTTGCACTGCACACCCATGAGATGAAGTGCCAGAAAGTCAAGGAACACACCAAAGTATTGGAGAGATTTCAGTGCAGAGCAACCAAGAGGTGATGGATTGATGAAGGAGTGTGTACATAGAACACTGGTTGAAAGACGGGTGATGTTGGGTAAATACACCATTCTGCAAATATACAAAGGGTGTGAACACACAGGACAAGAAAAAGTTAACTCTGGTGATGTACAGAGTTATGGAATAGCAAAATACTGAAGGCAGTGGGTGGCTGTATTTGGTCTTCAGAACCTCAAGCTTGGCTTAGTCTCTTGCAAGAATCTCCAAGAGACCTCCATTCCTTCCAAACAGGTCTGGTTAACAGATGATGTACTTATTTTCTTTATTTTCTGATGCCTCCAGTTTTGTGGTGGATACTGTATTCATTCAGCTGGTATCATCTTCTGCATTTCACATAGAAATGGTGATCACACAACTTTGCTAGTATGTACCAGATGCTAAAATCCCCAGAACTTTACCATTTGAAAGATGAGACGTGCAGCAATACTAAAATGTGCAGCCTTATATGATATCACAGTAATCCAGAAACACAGAGCACTGCCTTATACTGGTCCATTGGCCCATTGTCCAGCCAGCACAATATTGTCTGCACTGACTGGCAGTGTCTCCCCAGAGTTTGAGACCAGGAATTTCCTTTCCAGTCCTATCTGGAGATGCCAGGGATTGACCTTTTGCCTGCACCTGTTCTGAGCTACAGCTCTTCCTCTTTTGCTTGTGAAAATTGGTACCTAATCACTGGAAGTGAGCCACCTAGCCACCAGGTTCATGCAGCACCAGACCTTTTCATCTCTGGTTGAGGAGGCACTGCCTGCTTAGCTTGTAGCTTCAGCAGTGGTGCGGTGGGAAGGCAATGAAGTTAACTGCCCCTTCCCATGGCTTCAGTTAGTATTGAGCTGCCCAAGAGGAGATGCTCCAGCCCCAGAAATGAAATCATGGCGAGGGAGCTGTTTCCCCATATAATTATGGAACCTTTAAAAAGCAGCGGTTGTTGCAGTAGTTGTTGAGGAAGGGCTGTAGCTCACAGGTAGAGCTTCTGCGTTGCATGCAGAAGGTCCTGAGTTCAATCCTTGGCATCTCCAAGTGGGGCTGGGGGGGACCCCATCTGAAAGCCTGCCAGACATAAGAACAACCTGCTGGATCAGTCCAATGGCCTATCTGGTCCAGCATCCTGTTCTCACAGTGGCCACCCAGATGCCCATGGGAAGCCAGTGAACAGAGCATGACACACACACAATACCACTCTTCCCTCTTGTGGTTTCCAGCAGCTGGTATTCAGAAGCAGTGGTGCCTGCCCACTTGGCCCATGACACCATTTGGGCCAAGCACACCTGCCCTAAACCTAATAATTGAGGCTAGTATTGTACTGTGCTTGGAAGCTCCAACCATCAGCTGTGGATGACACTGAGTTCAATAGAACAATGGTCTGACTCTATAAGGCGTGTTCTACAAGCTAGAGATAGCACAGTGGTCTAGGCATTGCAGCACTCACCTCTGCTTATACTTCAGAGGGACAGGACTGGGGGTATATCTGGGTTATCAGGCCATGCTTTTGTAGGAATAATATAGTCAGAAAGGGAATGCTAGTGACTATTTTCCTTTCTCAAAGACATGCAGGACATTGTTTTCCAAAAGCAGGTTTTACTCAGGTGCTGAACTCTGCAACTATGATAAGGTCTTGGGCTTTCTTGTGTGATTTTCAGAAGAAAACCTAGCTTCCAAATGCACAAGGAAACAGGTTTCATAAGTTGTCTTGCATTCACATCGTACAAAGCACAGAAGCCTTCACAATGGAAGTTATCAAGTTACTAATGACTGGTTTCAAGGAGGGCAGATTCTGGCCACGGAACTGCTTGGGTGTTTCTTGTGTACACACCATCTACAAATATATTCCTTCCACTTCGTCACTATGATATGCCAGAAGGGGAAGGGACTAGGTGGACAGAAGAAGGACCGACCCTTAATGGGGACAACCTCGTTAGCTGCATCCCACGCAGCATCCTCCTTTGAAAGATTAGCGTGGATTTTTGTACTTTGCCTCATCATGACTCCTTAATCCGGCATATAGTCTAAGGGAATAATGCCATTAGAGGATTAATGCCACAAGTTGATTTGAAAAAAAGGATTTGCAAACACCAAAATCCTATATTGCATGCACTTAATCATGAAGTATTATTTTGAGGATTTCCTTTTCAGTTTAGTAGTGAGTCTAGTCCAGCCTAGGTGGTACTTCCCAAGAAGACACTCAATTCTGCCATCTCAACATAAAAGTTTACAGTTCAAAGGCAAAGGGCCCTCTATAGTATCAGACATACCCTCCAACATTTCTCTGAGGAAAATAGGGACATCCTATTCTATAATAAAGATTTTACGATTTATACCCTACCCAGCCACTCAGGTGGCTTCCAACATATTAAAAAAAATCATTAAAACATTAATCATTAAAAAAAACCTTTCTTATATAGGGCTGCCTTCATATGGCTTGGGAGTCAAATAACTCCATACCCTCCAACATTTCTCTGGTGAAAATAGGGATGTCTTAAGGAAAAGTAGGACATTCTGGGATCAAATCAGAAACTGGGATGGCTTCTGTAAATCTGGAACTATCCCTGGAAAATAGAGAAACTTGAAGGGTTTGATCTGATGCACATATATAGTTCCTGTGCAAAGGTACCTCAATGTGGAGACAGCAGCTCCAGTCATGTATTGATTTGTGCCTATGGGTCTCACCACCCATGAAAAGAACAAGGAAGATTTCATTGATGAGAGAGCTCTGTGTATGCCTATGCATTGAAGTTCAGCCCCACCAAAGGAAACCAGATTGGGGCTCATGGATAAGAGCATCAATATTCCCCATGGGAAGGGCTGTCACTCAGTTGTAGAGCACATGTTTCGCACGTGAAAGGGCTCTAAGGTTTAGTCACTGGCATCTAGCAGTAGGGCTGGGAAAGGCCCCTGCTTGAGACCCTGGAGCAGGGTGGTCCAACTTTTCATATCAAGTGGTCTGCAAGAGTACTTCAATATGGAACCCATGGGCCACACACTGCCTTGTCGCACTGGACAGCAGGAGCAAGGCCAACATTTGATGCCCCTCCCTCAATCTTTCCAAAGCTGGCTAAGCAAGGCACAGGGCTATGGGAAGGAGGAAGGAGGACTTAAGAGCCCTCATGCTGCCTTCCCAAAGCCAGCAGTACAAGGGCTGAAGGCCACCAAAAGAGGCCATGCATTGGACCACCCTGCCCTGAAGAGTCACTGCAGGTCAATATAGACCAGTTGGAGAGACTATTAATCTGACTTAATATGAGCAGTGTGTGTGTGAGTGTGAGTGTGGGCTTGAAATGTGAAAAAAGTGCTTAAACTTAAACTCTGTGATGTGTTCTTCTCTTTTCCTCTCTTACTTGGAAATAAATCCCATTACATCTGCAAGATGTACAGCTGCAACCACAGGACGATGATCTCCAGGGAGGAGACTTGGAAGGATGAAAGCTTCACCAATAGGGAATGGGGTAGAAAAATTGTGGACAGACAGCTGCCAGAATGGGAACACATCAAACTGTGGTGATGTTTACCAGGAATTGCAAAATCGAATTGAAAAAGAGCAAGAAAACATCCACACTGCATTTTAAGCCTGTAATGTGTACTTAGCTTTAGTTTAGTCATGCTAAGGAACCTATATGTATTTCCTAGTGTTTCTTTACCAACACTGAAGTGCTGATAGGCACATGAAATCCCCATGCCCACAAGTGCTCCTTCATTCGCCTTAAGGAATAAAAGGGCGGAGGAAATGAAGGCATTATGCACACGGTACTTTGTCTGACCTTGCATGCCGTCAAATCTGTGCTGGAGAATGTGAGCATGGGGATGGTGTCCCACTGTACATACACTGTTTCCAAGCGATACATCTAAAACAGACCTGATAAATAAATAAATTGGTGACTAGAAAATATTTTCCACAGAATACATTTCTCTCAATTTTACCTGTGGACTGCCATCTGTCCAGATTTTAATTTGCTCTGAACTAATTTTAAGATGTATTTTAATTAATTGATTGCCTGGTTTTATGTTCTTATGTTCTTTGTATACTGTGTTAGTTTTATGATGTTTTATGATGGTTTGCACATAACACTAAGCCAAGCTATGGCTCAGTGTGAGTGTGTGGGTTCTCAAAGGGAAGCTCAAGGCCACTGTACTCTTCATCAGTCCTGTTTCTGCTCCATTAACTGGAGCTAAGCTATGGTTTGGATTGGTGTGAACCCTGGCTCATGGTTTGCCTCATGCCAAACAAACCACAAGCTGTAACCAAGGTTTCTTCTGGGTTTACAAGCTCATGATTTGTCCAGAGGGGACAGACCACGAGTTTGGATGATATGCTGAGCCAAACTACAACGTATTTTGTGAGGTAGTGGGAGAACCAGAGAAGGAACACAGTGCCCACAATCTCCTCTCCAGGAACCTGTGCTCTCATATGTGTTTGTGCTATGCCATGATTTGAACTGAGTCATTATTTCACTAATCCTTACGACGACCATGTAAAGTAGGTCAATATTATTACCTCCATTGCGGGTATTTTTGAGGCTCATATCCTGAGTTTACAGTCAAGGCAAGCTTTGAAAGAGCTTATTTCCAGCTTCATTGCTCAGCCTGTTAGTTCCTACACTACATTAGCCCTTAATATATCAAAAGTAATCCCCTTGCACTGAAGCATTTGCATGAATAAGTAATCTGATGAGTTCAATCAAGGCCTGCAAGCTACATTAATTGCCAGAGGCTAATTAAAATCATCATGACTAAGGATCACTGATGCTTCCATCTGGAATACAGATGTTTGGCTTGATTAAGGAGAACTCCACTGCCATGGCTGTTTAATAGGTCACATTTTAAATATTACTTATGATGAATATTGATGCCAGCATCACTTTATTTCCAGTTAATGAATAATTAACTAAATAGAGCAATATTAAATATAATTAATATATGGATTTACAGATCACAGTAAAAATACACAGAGATAATACAGTACTAGAGAATTGCTATAACTTTGTAGTGTTAACACTGAATTGTTTTAAAATATTGGATGCCCCTGACTTAAGCTCTTAAGGACCAGACTGCATGTG